CTTATCAAAATAAAAGTAGTGATGTTCTTTTGTCAAATTTGCAATTGGAGACCTTTCAATAAAATTTTATAATGGTATCCCAGTATCTATCAAGTCTTGATAAATTATCTGGCGGGTGTCTTCTATTCACATAAGGAGTATTTTAGATCTAATTTTAATTTTGTCCTGTAATTTAATTAAATATGTTTTTAGCTTTGTCAACGTAAATATATATTTGTTTTTTTTTTTTAGTTTTTAGCAATAGTATTACACTGTCAAATTTTAGTTTTAGATCATTTTTACTTACTAATTGCTGACATATAAAAGTACATGTTATTGTTTATTGTTACTAATAAATACTCTTGATTTTACTATGTATACGAATTGTTATCTTAATCACCAATATACAAACATTTTAATATTATCTGTGCCTTTTATTCTTTTTTTTTTATTTACATGAAATGTGAAAGAGGAACAAAAAGTTGATAAATTTGGTTACTCAGTTCTATGAGAACAATATTGAGAATTTTAGATGTTTTATTTTCACTTAAACCTTCTTTAGGGGTATTATGTAACTGTTGTTGTAGTTCTAGTATATAGAGTCTATTAAATGTTGCACTGTTAGTTTACTGTAACACACAACACATCGGAGGAGGTTTCTTCATTAATATAAAATCATGGGTTATCTTTGTATGTCCAAGTCGCAATCTTTGTATGATTACTTGGTCTCTTCTCTTAGTACAAAGTTTACACGGCAGTATACTTTGTTTGATAGTTCTTAATATAGAATTTGAATTATTTCCAATTTTGTTCTTAAAATATTGCTTTAAATCTGTATGACCACAGGTAGTGATGATGTCAGCTTTATCATTTCCACTCCACCATTGACTCTAAACTCGTCTGATTCCATATTATCTGTTCTTACTCTGTGTCTTGTGTTCTTGTATGGGCTCCTAATAGCTTTTCTGAGTTTGCTGTCTACTTCTCTGTTCCTTAGGCTTTTGTCTATTTCGATTCGCGGGGTTCTATCAAATGCTTTTTCGAGGTCTATGAAGGCTTGGTATAGTTCCGCGCTTATATTTCGTGCATTTTGTATTAGCTGCTTGAGTGTAAAAATATGGTCATGGATGCTTCTTCCCTTCCTGAAATCGCTCTGTGACTGCTCCAGCTTGTGGTCTACTTCTTGTAGTAGTCTTTTCTCCAGTATTCGTTCGTAAACTTTGGAAGGGATACTTAGAAGGGCTATACCTCTGTAGTTGCTGCAGTCTCGTCTTTCACCTTTTCTGAAAATGGGTAGAATAACTCCTACTTCCCAGTCTTTTGGAATCTTGCTCCCATTCCATGCTTTATTGAAACTTTTCGAAGCATTTCATTTTCTCCCATATTTTTTAGCATTTCCGCAGTTCTCATAGCCCGCTGCCTTTCCTCTTTTGAGCCCGAGTATTATTTCTCTTATTTGCTCTATTGTTATTTCGTTTTGATTTGGGTTCTAATGTGGGTTTTCTTCAATGTTGACTATTTCATTATTAGAGCCTTCTTGAGTCAGGAGGTTTTCGAAATATTCTCTCCACCTGTTCATAATACTTTCGTTCTCACAGAGGATGTGGCCATCTTTATTTTTAATTTGTTTTGGTGTTTGTCGTCTGTTCTCAGGCTTCTCAGAGTTTTGTAAAATTGTTTTTGGTTAGTGTGGTAGTATTTCTCCAGTTTTTTCCCAAAATTCTCCCAGCTCTTCTTTTGTGCTTCAATCACCATGTCTTTTACTTTTGCCCTCTGTTGCTTATATTTTTGATAGCTTTCTGCATTCTGGTTTCTTAGATATTTCTTCCACGCTAACTTCTTGGATTTGACCTCTTCTTTTATTTCATTACTCTACCAATTCGTACATTGTCTATTTTGATTGATTTTAGCCATTCCGCAGATTTGTTTGACCCCATCTAGGAGAGATTTTTTAAGTTTTTGCCAAGTTTCTTCCAACCCATAATTCTGGTTTAAGTGCTTTTGTAGACTATTTTTCACATAGTTTTTGTATTTCTGTGCTATTTTCTTATCTGATATAACTTGTATGACCTAATAACTGCGTTGGTGGGGTTTTGTCTCTTTTTCTTGTTACCTTCTGTGTTCGTTTTTGTTCCACACCGATAGTAGTTCGAGATACTATACGTCTTTTACACCTACTCCACCATTGAGATAGCCAATTTTTGTTATGTTACCTTGTGCGCTATCTACGATTTCTGTCGCCTTTTCGCAAAAATGTTATTTGTTGTTCCTCTTTCGGTATCATTTGGTCCACATATAACAAGATGTTGACTGGTTTCTTCTCTTTGGTTGTCATCCTAATTTTCAGGATCCTTTCGGTAATATATTACCAATCTTTAATGCTACTAGTCAAGTTTCTATTGATGAGGCAACCAACTTCTTCACGTGCTCTTTCTGGCGGGGTTGCTCCGCTGAGTATAAAAAAATGGCCATTTTCCAGAAACTGTATGCTCTTACCATTTCTTTTTGTCTCTGTAATTCCTAGTATGTCTATTTTAGCCTTAACAAATTCTTCTACAAGTTCAATCTCCTTGCCGTTGAGACCTCTTACGTTCCATGTTCCTATTATCCATCCTTAAGGTATTCTGGTTTTTTCAGTTGCCGTTGTTTTCACTCTTTTAATCTCATTGACTGCAGTTGCTTTGTGTATTTGTAAGCGTTTCTCATCTTTCTTCTTATTTAAGTTTCCATGCTGGTCTTTTTATAGTGCTTTACTACTACTCATGTCCTTGTTCATTGCCTGTTTCGTCATCGTTTTTCCATTGCCGTTTTTTATTAGTTTTTTAGTTTGTCTATCTTATTTTCTTTATTATTCCATTTCCATTCTTCCATATTTATCCACAATTTATTTTTGCCAATCTTTACGTCGTCACCTTTATCTCTCTCTTCTCGTGCAATCATTCTTATAGTTTTTTGTATTCCTCTTTCTTTCATTGTGGTGTCGTTGTTTTTATATATTTTTTCTTCCTTGTGATTTTTTAGCTTGGATTTGTTCTTCATGACTTTGATTTTTTTCTTCCTGATCTTCTAGTTCTACACCCAACACCTTAGGGTAGAAGGGTTATTCCACTTATCTCGCAATCTGAAGGTACCTAGAGGAACTGAACTTTGATTTTGTTGGCATGTTGAGTTCCGCCTTCAATAAAAGAAGGACGGGATATTTTGAGTACAATTGCTTTAGAGCTGTTAATACACTCAGGGAATCACTAATCGTTAGAGAGTACCTGATGTCATGTGTGTTGATAAACGATAATGCCTGTAGGATAGAAAAGAGTTCAGCGAGAATATGGAGATTTGTAGAGGGAGCGGACAGGAACTGTTATAGTTATCTGTTGTGAAAGTCGCTCCTACTCCGTTTGCAGATCTGGATGCGCCGGTGAAAACAAGGATGTAATTAAAGCCATTTAATATCTATAGTGCTTTCTATTTGAAAATTTTGCCTGGTGTGTCACATTTCTTAAATGCAGAAAGGTTTGTATTACAATAGGGGAGAGCAATGGTCTGTGGTAAAATGTGTTGGCTGAATTGTAAAACATTGTAAGTGGGTGGAATTATTGTATCTAAGCTTTGTAACATGGCTTTCATTCGATGATAAAACGAAGGATCCAATCTTTTTGAGCAATTAAACATCGATGGATCTGTAAATGTGTTTTTATAAACAGATACCTCTGGGTTAGCTGATACTCTTGAGCCATACATGAGCTTAAGGTATTCTCTCCTGAGTTTAAGGGACGGTTCGCCTTATTCAACATACATACTTTGACTTAGTTTGTGTAGTGTGCTCCCAGTGCAATTCTAATTACTGAATTATATACTGAATCTAGAACTTTCAACAGTGAACCTTTGGCCGAGTTGTAGGCAACAGCACCATAATCTAATTTAGAACGAATTAAGGTTTTGTATACAATCATAAGAGTTTGGAAGTCGGCACCCCGATTCTTTATGAGAGATATTTTTTATTAAGTTTAGGCCGTTTTGAACTGAAAGTCGGCGTGAGTGGATGTGGTCTTGCCAAGATAGTACATTATCCAGTTTTACTCCCGAGAAGTTCGATTCTGAATAATTAGTGAATTCTCTAGAATGGCTTAATGTATATGGGTCGTCATTGTTGATATATTTTTCCCCGACAGAAAAAAAGTCTTGTATTCATGATTATTCAATGGCTAGATATTTCATTTCTTCGATTTACTTTACTTTTGTTTTGATTACACAGCCAAAAGAATTCAGGAAACAACTCATCTAAAAATGAATATACTGGGCTATAGAAACAGACTTAATAACTCTATACAGTTGTTTATAATAAAAATATTTATTAAATGAATATATGTACATTATAAATACATATAAATAATTAATTACACAAAGCATTCATATAAAATATATATAAAATTATAACGATAATAATGGGTAGGATATGAGTAAAAATTTTAGTAGGTATATACAGTTATACGTTTATATAATTTGGCAAGACTTAGTGTGTGTTACAGACAATATTTAAGAAAATGCAAAGTTCTTTGTAGGTTAAACATCTAACCGATAGTCTGTCAAATGTGTTTTGTATGTCTTCATATAGCGCGACTAACTTAAGTTAAATGTTAAAACAGGTAGCTACACAAAAGCGGGATCTAGAAAACATGTCAACTTTATGCATTCAAAGAAAAAGTGAACTAAAGAAAGTTCTGAAAGATCGGATTTATGCTGATCTACTGAAATTGACTAGGTATTTGATGTTTTATAGTTCAGAACCGATATATTTAGAGGCTTAACAGGCATTATAAGTTACGATAAGTACATAGGCATATCTACAGATTGAAAAGTAAATAAAGGAACTTTCCATTAACATATGTGAATATACCTTTAAGATATAATCACTTCACAATTTAATTTGATTTATTAATTGATCATGTAAAAAGAAAAAGTTAATATAATCATGCATTTCCTTGGAACACTATCAAAACACTAGCAGTTGTAATAAATGATATTTATCTGAAAATATGTATATCAACTTTGCCGTCTGGAATCTTCTTCATAATGTTCCAAGCTTCGATTCTTGTTAGTAATGTGAACTTGATATCATTGATTTGTATAATTTCATCACCCACGTTTAGGTTACCTGATTTTTCAGCTGCTCCTCCTAAAAGAAAAACAATTACAGTAATTAATTATTTATAATTCTAATAACAACTTTTTTTAAATTTGTTCAATTTCTGAATCGTCAAATTTAACTTACAAACCAATTAGAGAAAGAAACTGAAAGACAAGCAAAAAGGGATTGGAGTGAAACGTTTTACTCTGTACTTGAAACATATACACTGAAAATAATAGGAAAAAAGGTATAAATATCAACTTTTCGTGTTTTTATTAAACCTCTGATAATCAACCGTTGGATGTAGAATTATAAATTTTCTTCAAGTTCTTTAAACTGTAAATATTTTGCAATCACCTCTTCTGGAACCTCCCAAACTTTATTCATTATTGACCAACGTCCCCTGATTTATATCCTATTTTTTACGAGGTCAGTCTATTTTTATTTCAGTTTATATATTTGGTCATATGTCTTATCTATTTTTTTAGTATATAATTCAATTGTTTTTATGTTTAATGTCAAATTTCTTACTTTCTTCGTGAATAAAGTACCTATATTATGTGTAGTACGATATTTGATTCTAATACAATTTTTGCAAGGTTTCAATTTTATAGAATAGCAAGGGAATGAGACTCAGTCAGGACATGAGTCTTATATATGTTCCATCAGCATGTAGCTCGTCGGGTCCCGATCTTTGTTAGCCTCTTGACCTGTCCCTGCTCTTCTTTCCCACAAGTAGCAATAATAGGGTTCGTCTGGATATTTTTCATTCGCAAGGGAGTCCTGCCAATTTTAGATTAGTTTTATTAAGGATAGTACATCTCTTCCGTCTGCTATTTCCATACATTTCTCAAATATCTACAACTGTCCAATTTTTAGTAAACTAGCGACCACTGAATGTACACGTATACGCTCAGTAAACTGATGCTCTTACCACTGCGCTCCCAAAGCGTTTTATGCTTGTGTATATATATATATATATATATATATATATATATATATATATATATATATATATATATATATATATATATATATATATATATATATACTTCTAGCGGTTAATATGGGCTCCGTACTAAAACGGTATTATACTAACTCCAGGAGAATATACGCCATGTATATTATTATCTGAGTAGCGCTTTATGTAGACTCCGACCAATACGTCGGATCAAGTTGACTCCGTAATAGGATCAAACAGTTTTGGGATCCGTATATAACTTTTCCCGTACACTTCTTAACTCCTGCGATGTTGCCAATAATTGTATTAGTAGTAGATTTTTAAATTTTATAGGTGGTACATTTTGGAACCTATTAATATGAACATCGAGTAGCGTAATCGTCTAACAGTTTAAGAAACTCTTCTGTAAGATCTTTATAATTTTTCAATTACTGCAGTTTATGGCGTGTAATATTTATTTCATGAAGTAGTTAAAATTACACTATAATAATTTATAAATTAATCTTTAATATTATAATTTTTTGCTGTCCAATTTCAATATGTTGATTTTTAATTAACAAAATATTTGATGCATTAAAGTCGCGTAGCTATTTTCACCAAACATTCAATTTTAAAGCCATTAGTATAAAAGTCTAAAAAAAAGTATAAAAATCTAAGGAATTTAATATGGATACACACGTCAGTGTGCTTTTCTCAAGTCTCAAGTTTCTCGAATCCATCAATCATTCATTGTATTTCTTATACTTTCATTTTAATCCTCTCCAATCAAGATTTTAAAGCAGGTTTGCTCCATTAGTCCATTTTTATTACTTTTTGTCACTATTTCTCCTTTTTCATTATCATCATCATTACGTGGCGCTACAACACTGGGTGGGTCTTCGCTAACTACAAATTTTCTCCAAGTTGATCGATTTTCCACGAATCTGTAATGAAATGAAATGTTAATATTTTGAGATATAATTGGATGTTTTCTCTCCATTGCTTACTGAGACGCCTAAGCGGCATTCTTTCTTCTGTGCTAACTTCCTTCCATACCAGTTTTACAAGTTTGATATATTGGCGTCTATGCATGTGTCCGATCTACCTTAAGCGATTTATTTTTCTGAACAATATCGTTATAAAAGCTTTCTATATTCAGTATGGGTTCTTATTATATACGGATTTGTAGCGATATGATAATGAGGTTAAAACATTTTTCTAATTATTTTTATTTCAAATATTCGTACTTCTTCCTTATTTTTTTTTAGTCAATGTCAATGATTCGCATCCATGTATTAAAATAGGTCTAAAATTTGAATTATGCTAAGTTATTATGCTAAAAGTATTTAGTTATTGACATTATTATTAACAGTGATTATTTATCTAAGATATTTAAAGTGTTCCATATTTTTGAAATTGTAGTTGTTAACTTTAATATTTTATCTAGATTTATTAAATTGGTCTTTTCTGTTGATTCGCTTGTATTTGGTTTTCATTTCGTTGATTTTTCGTGCTCTCTTTACTTTATTGAAGATGTTTGCGGACGGGAGAGTTTCTTATGAGATCTATGTCATTAGCATATGCTAGGAGTGCTTTGTACCTTGGGCCTTTAATGAGTTACATCTTAAATAGGCGATATTTCCATTTTAGTAAGCTGTTTATTAATTTTTTGACTATTTGAATCGACAATCTGTATTTTATTCGACTGTTATATCACAGAGTTTCTTGGCGCATATTTTCATTCTTGGTTTTGTGTTTCCCGTATCATTATTACAAAGATTTTTCTGGAGATCGACATAGGGAACCCGGTGGTATGTACATGATGTTTTCATAACCAACATCGAACATTTGTCTTACTGTAAAGTCATAATGATTTTACTAGGAAATATAGTGTTGTTTAATAATAATAAAGTTCAAGCAACAATTCCTATATGCAATACTTTGGTATGATATTTCTGCTCCCCGATACCAAGTAGCAGTCCCGAAAACATTAAAACTGCTAAACTCATGTTTCCTATTATCCAAAAATTAGCCAGTCCAGGACTATACTGCCCTCATAAGTTAATAGAATATGTACGGAGGTTTTTGGCAATTTAATAGGATTTTGTGTGTTAGAATATTATTTCTCCGAGAAAGTAAAGAATATTTATTTGCTATCCAAATATAATCCATAAATTAAATATTAGAATGCTATAAAATAATGCCACTAGCAGCAAAAACGGTATAATAGTCACTAATGAGAAAATCAAATAAATGTTTTTTAACATACAAAAGAAAGGATGTAAAGTAAGGCATAACGTAACAATAAAGCTATATAATTTTGAAAGATTGCAGCGTTTTAGATATCGTAGATAACGTTGTCACATAAGAAATAAAAGGGAAAATTCAGGTAGCTAACTGATGTATATAGAACCCTTATAACACTTTTAAATCCAGAAGCCTAATATAAATCTCTAAAATCAGGATATATAAAACAGTGAACCAGTGCAGTGTGGATATGTAACGAGAACGTATTAATTAGATCAGGATTGCTAGAAAAGCCATCAGAGGTATTTCCCGACTTACAAAGGTCCGAGTACTAACCAATACCGAACGAAACTAATGCCAAGGTCAAACACATATATAAAGATAGCAACGAGGTACAAGAACCTAAATCTCAACTCCAAAGTTGCGCTGGCTTTATCCAAAGGCTCTCTCATTAACTGCATTCCCAAGTTACATTGGTAGGATGCTCCGAGAGAAAAAATGCCCTTAGGATATCCACGGATGAAGGGCGCAGATTTAGGAATAATGAGACTACTTACCGACTCATCATATTTATCAACACCTGCTATCCTACCTACAATCAATACATATCTGTTGAGGACTATCAAATCAATTACATGTAATCAAACGAACTAGGCTTAAAAAAAGTATCCTAGGAAAGGCACTTCCGCAATATTGACATATATTTTTAAAACGCCATTTATGTGGCTGAGTTTGCAATAGGAATGAGGAGACAAAAAGGAAGAAATGGTAATAAAATCTTGTTGCGTTCCGACTATACGATGACGATGATCTCTATATAACATATAGGAAATAAATGGAGAATAATGTCTATGTTCAATTTAGAACTCGTTGGTTTTCTCCCTTTCGAATTGGGTATGTATTTGTATTACCATAGAAAAAATCAAAAAAAAAAACTATAATTATGAAACTCTATCTAAAATAGTAAAATCGATAAACAAATTATATAAACAAAAAGATTATATAAATCCCTAATATTTAAACAGACTGCTTTACAAAAGGTGAACAAATAAGCATAAATAAATTGTCAACAAAATAAATCAGAAGAATATGACACAGTATATTGCTTAAAAAGAATTCTTATGTGAATATGCTAAAATATGATACGATCGGAAAAACGGCAATGACTTTTACAGCTGATTGCCACATAAATATTAATGTAACGCAAATATGATGATATTGCCTCGTACTGTTATATAGCAATTTGTTGTCACATTGCTGAAAGTTACATGATGGAAATTCATTGTATCTAACAATAAAACAAGTATGCGTTTACACGTTATATATTGTAACTAAATAAGTTGAGGAGGGGAAAACTGTTTGTCCCAAGTTGGTATTCAGAATTATGTCTGTATTTTGTAACTTGCCAATTTCCATAGGTTTAAATTTTCATGGATATCACTAGACTCGAGAGCAGTGTATGATTCCTTAGTTATGTTTTTAAAGGATAGTAAAATAACCATCTAAATAATTATGCATTAGTTAATAACGTAACCTTTGTTTCTAACCCAATTGTCAAATTCCTTTCTTACCGTGGCCTAGTGTTGTACGTCTTTTTAAAAAATGCCTTGATGGGCCCCTAGGCGAGAAGAGAGTGACCCTGTTTACCTGTCTTTTGTTTTGTATATTTATTAATATAAACTCAAACAACTATTTGTACCATGTTGAGTCTGGCTGAATGACTAAAAGTCTATGCCAAAAAAATTTCATAGAATCTAAAGACAGCTTAAGGCCTTTATTATAAATATACTTTTTAGTAATGAAAATAAGTAAATAGAACCTAGAATATCCATGTAAAAGAATGTAATCTTTGATCTCTGGG